GGAGGCCCATTGAGGGCTCTGCCAGCAGATGGGAACCCGGACCAGCAGGGTCTTACCTGCTTGAGTCGATGGCATGCTGTCTCGTTGCTCAAGCAACGGCGATGGTCAAAGGAGTATGTGCTCGGAATCCAAGTGCGGAGCAAGTGGCACCGTTGCCTGCCAAACGTCGTCGTGGGAGAGCTGGTGGTCGTCGCCGAGGACAATCCGCTGCTCCAGCAGTGGCTGATCGGCTGTGCACGCAGGAGAGGACGGCGTCGTTAGAGTAGCAGAGATTAAGACGGCTAGTGGCGGAAATTTTAAAAGCCCGATCCACAAGTTGGCTCTTGACATTCCCTGTTAAATTTTGTAGTTTTCTGATGGTTATTCTTGCAAACGCATCAGCTATATCATTATCTTTACCCTTTAGATACTCTACTGTAAAATTATATTCCTCTAACTCAAGCCTCATACGTGTTAATTTAGAACTTGGATTAACCATTGAAAATAAATATAAAAGTGGTCTATGATCTGTTTTGACAGTGAAATGTCTACCATGAATATATGGTCTGAAATCTGTTATTGCCCAATGAATTGGTGGTAGTTCCTGTTCCGTTGTACGCTTGTTACCCTTGGTGAATGATCTGGATGCGTATGCAACTGGAAGTTGGAGTCCGTTGTGGTTGTGGCATTGTGACAATCATCCGTCCATTCAAATGGAACATTCTTTTTATTTAGTGTAGTTATGTGCCGTGCATAGTCGGCGTAGTTTTTAATAAATCATCTATAATAATTGCAAAATACAACGAAACGTCTAGCGCTCTCCGCATCATGTGGGACTGGGTAATTTTGAATGACGTCGTATTCCTTTGTCTGTCTATTTGTGTCCCAGAAATGTGACTTCATGCATAAAAAATGATCAAGATGTAGCATTAAGTTGTATTTCCTGCATTTGTCAGTTAGGTTTTTAACCATATGCTTTTCGTAACAACCATTTACTGTTACGTCATCCATATAAAGGAATGTTCAAGTACAGAGAATGCAATCGTCATCATTCTCTGAAATGAATTCGGCGCTATTTTTAAACCAAATGGTAATCGCGTGAAACGATATGAGCCATTGCTCGTCCAAAAAGACGTTTTTGGTTCGAAATCTCTTAAATTATTATTGTCGAGTTCAATTTCGTGAAAACCTGACATTAAGTCAAGGCATGAAAAATATTTCGCTCTACCTAGTTGATCTAAAATATCATCAATTCTAGGTAGTGGGAACTTATCAGCTAACAGCTTTTGTTGATTTGACAATAGTCAATTACCAATCGCCATTTTTTTTTATTGGATTCAGAATGAGATTTCTTTGGGACTAATAAAAGTGTGCTATTATATTCTGACACAGATGGTTCGACAATTTTGTCGTCAAGTAGTTTTTGTACCTGGGCTTGGATATCTTTTTTTTTTGGCTGTGAGGACTTCTATAATTTTTAATGTAGACTGGTTCATCATCTTTCAATCTTAGCTTTTGTTAGTAAAAATTATTCGTTAAAATGGATTCGGAGTTGTAGTCCAAATATATCTGTATAATCAGTGCAAAATTTAGTTAATTTTCCTTTAAACTGTGGTCGAAAATATTTGGATAATCGAGACATGTCTTCTTCTATTCTACTTCCATTGTTTGTTTGAACCACATCGTAGTTCGAAAGTGATTCATAATTTAGATTATTTATGCTAATTAGTTGATCGGTACTGGTTGTGGTCAGTAGTCGGACAAATGCGTTTCGTGTGGTTGCAGCGGTGTTTGCAATATAAATACCAGTTTGAATTTCCTGGCTTGGAATTAGTACACTATCTTCGATTTGATATGATATTGTAACATGAATCGGAAAATTTAGATTAGTGGGTCTGATTATAAGCCAATCTTCTCTCGGCTTGAAATCTAATTGGCAATTGAATTTTCTAATTAAGTAAATGCCTATTACTCCATCACAAGGTATTGCAAATTGCAAGTCTACTATATGAAAACTGTGTGGAATTATGTATTTATCTGTTTGTATCTCGATAGAGGTTAATCCTGTGGATTGTATAACCCCTTGGTTTATCCCTTGAATATTAATTCTGTTATCTATTTGAATGTCTTGAAAGACGTCGGAATTTTCTTTTAATATAAAAATATATCCGCACCAGTGTCTATTAAAATGATTTATTTTTTTCCTGTTTCTACATGGTTAAATGATACGATTATATTTAAGCTAAGATTGATAGTATGAACCTTTTTGTTTTTTACTGTTGTATATCTAAAGGTTGTTCGGAGTTTCCCGAATGGTGTTGTGTAACTCGGACATACTGTTGTGTCCTCTGTTTGAGTTACCGCGGCCTCTAGAGTTTCCTCTATTTTGGCCTTGTGCCCTATTATAATTTCTGTTATAACTTTGATTATTATTTCGGGAACCGGTATTCTGATAATTACCTCTGCCACGATAATTACCTCGGTTCCCTCTATAATTTTGTTGCTGATAGAACAGGACAGTGTTCGAATGTCCTGTGCAACTATTGACAAATTTTGACACATCATCGTTCATGTTACTGAATGTGCCAGCCTGCATGATAAGTTTTACGTTAACAATGGTAAAGTTGTTAGTCATTGCTTTGACAGCCAGCGTTGTGCTGTACCTAGTGGCTAGATCTAATGATAAGCCATCGCTGATATAGGCTCCTTCCAGAGACTTTGTCAACTTTTCTATTTCTTGTACGTATTGGTTGGCTGTCTTATTTTTTTGTTGGAGATTTAGTAATTTCGCTGAAATTACATCTACTGATTCTCCTTTGACTGTGGCTGCTAACTTGTCAATTATTTGAACAATTGCTTGTTCGTGACTTATTGAGTTTCTGGCATTGTGACGCGGAGTCACAATTAAATAAGAAAATGTAGAATCATGAATAATCATAAATAATCATAAATAATCATAGAATAAGTGTCAAACAAATGAAGTTGAAATATGAAATAAAAAAACTTATCATTAAGAATAGAACGGAGTAGATTCATTAGGAATTAAGAGGAGCCAATTATAATGTAAATTTAATCATAAGCAATTCTGACTCCCAAAATGTGTTAACGGTAGGAGTAGAAGAGAGGAAATGCTTGCGAGAGAGTTTTCGCCGAAGAGCGAAAAGGGCGAAAAAAGGCTTGTGAGCTGCTGAGGCTGATCAGCGAGAGTAAGTACGAGACGCGCGGAAACGCGAGGTAGCCGTGAGGTTAGGAGTATAGAAAAGGAGATAAGAAGTGACGGTGCAGTAGGGAAAGTTGAATAAAAATAAAGTGCGAACTATAATACATAAAGTGCTTCGGTGTTCGCATTATTTTGTACAAGTCGGCGATAAAGACCGTGTATCGATTGTGTGTGTTTTGCAGACTTTTTATTCTGCGGCGGAGTGATCCCAGCAGCACCCATCACGCTGACCTACCCTAACCGCAGCGGAGTTAGACCAGCGGTTTTCTTTCCTCTTCCCAAAGATATAAATCCCTCTGTGGCGGAGTCTTCCCGACAATTCTCTAAGCCCCCCTTTTCAGCTTTACGTCTCGGCAAACTACAAATTTCTTGTAGAGTGAACCTGGTAAGATTGAGTTTTACAACCCCGGCCAAATTGCTACTTTACAAGTGGCGCCCGAGCAGGGAGTCTAGGCGTAAAGGGGCGTGTCATTAACGTGGCCTAAAAGCCCCCGTTAGTGCCACCAGAGTGGATTCAGGGTCAAAAACGCAGTGTTAGCTGAGAAGTTAGCTGCCCGCGGCATAGAAAAGGGAACTTCAAAAGCCCCACTGGGGTGTCAGCAGCAAACCCACATGTACAGGCAGGTAACTGAAGGCATGAGAGAAATAGCAAAGAAGAGACACGAAAAACTAACGGACGGCCATAAAACTTCTCGCTGAGCGAGCGAATTCGTTCCAGCGCTGGAAATCCTGGATGAAGGAGGTAATCCTTTTCCAATTTCACTGTGTATTTAGATGTATAAAAGAATGTGTTTCCAATAAAGTGACCACTGGTGGCTTTGGTTGTTCAGTAGAGACTGATTTTACATTTTATTCTTTGACCTTAAGCTAAGCTAGTGTTCACAATAACTTTTGAAGTTGCTTTCCAACATGAGTCTGAGAATATGCTGAATTAGGTATTTTCGAATGCCAGCAACAAGAAATGTCGCAACCACATCCTCTTAAACTGCTTCGCTTGAAATTTGATACATTGTACTTAAACTGTAACAATGTACTCATGCCCTCTTGAGTGGGCAGCGAGAGTTAAGAGGAAAGGGGAAGGGTTCTTTTTATACACGTTCTGCTGGTTTGGCTGGTGGTATCGACTCTGCGATACCCTCGCTGAGAGATACGGTAACTCCTCCCCCCTGGAGTGAAGTGAGGGCCACATCGAAGGTATGGCCTGAACGGAGACTGTTTCTGCGTCCTTTGTGGGGTAGACGATCCGCTTCCTCCGGATATAGTAGGCCATTGCTGTTATGGCGCTGATTAGTATTATCATCGAGTAAATAGCTATCAGATGCACCTTGGAGTGTTCTTCTATTTGCCATATTAGCTTCTGGTGTTGGATGTTTTATATTTGTAATTTTTGGAGATTGATTTCCTCTGTTGTGGTATTGATTGTGAATCCTTCAATTTGTAAAGTAGCTACTGGCCGAGGTATAACTCTTAGTCTTACCAGGTCTAGCGAGTTACAAGATATTTATACCGCGAACCGTGCGCATGCCTCGGTCGCTCAACTTCGCTTCGAGCTTCCGCAACTTCATCTCGGAGCTTTCGCTCTTCGCCGCCGAACTGAAGTTGCACTCTCGAACACGGTGTTGAGCAACCGATCAACAACGCACGGTTGCTGTGGCGGCCGGCGGTTAAATTCAAATTTAAAGTATGCCCTTGCTGACTACGTGGCTCCTTGCTCTTAATTATACACTTCAATACATTGGCATCTTGTGTTAACCATTCTTATAACTAATACAATGCTTATATACTATACAATACTTGCATCCTAAACTACAATTATGAACTGTGGGGTGGGTACCACAGTGGCCACAAACTCTACCACGTCCGTCGGGTCTGGTCCCTCTCCGTCTTCGGTCATCTCTTGGTGGAACGGCTTCAGCTGCGAGACATTGGCCACCGTCTTCTTCCGTTCGCCTGGCCTCACTAGGCGCACGATGTTGGGGGACATAAACTTGACGACCCGATAGGGGCCATCGAATTTGGGTGCCAACTTTGCAGCGAAGCCCTCAGCAGCGTTGGACAACTGGTGCTGCCTCAACAGGTGCTGCCTCGACTTCGCAAGTTGTAATGCCTGCCCTGGTCCTTTGATGCGCGCTGGAGGTTGCTGTGGACGATATAAAAGATTTCTTTTAACCTATCCGCCTTAGTCCTAGGGTCGAGCGCACTAGTTGCGGACCCCGGAGTTACCTGATCGTACAGAGCTGCGGGTAACCGAGGTTCCCTGCCTTGCATCAGGAAAGCAGGACTAAATCCCGTTGAGTCCGCCACGCTGGTGTTGACCGCTAGCGATATCTCGGGCAAAAGCTCGTCCCATGAACTCTGATGGCCCTCGATAAATTGCGCTATCATGGTCTTTACAGTCCGGTTGGTCCTCTCGGTGGAATTCTCTTGCGGACAGTACGGGGCGGTATACTGGATCTCTACACCCAGGGACCCCCCGGCTCGTAAACTGTACCCCGTTGTCGCACACGAACTTCCTTGGTACCCCGAACCTACTTAGAATCCTTTCTCGAAACGCGGTCTGTAAGTGTGCCACTGTGGCTCTTCTGAGAGGGACCAACTCCACCCACTTCGACAAAGCGTCATGGAACACCAGTGTTGCCATGTCTCGACCGTGGAAGGGGTCCGACGAAGTCCGCGCAAAGTACCGCCATCGGCTCTGCCACCTGCCTCGTCAGCATGCGACCAGCCGGTTTGAGTTGCTCACTCTTGAATTTTTGGCAGTCTTCGCAACATCTCACGTATTTGGCGGCATCGCGGAACATACCCGGCCAGTAGTGCCGCTGGGCTAACATCAACACCGTTTTCTAACACCTTGATGTCCGGCCGTGGGAGCATCATGACATTCCCGCAGTACCCTCTGGCGTTTACTACTGCCTACGCATAGTTTCCAGGGGATGTAGTCCTCATCGTCTGTCCGGTGACCCAAATGCCTACATAGCTGTCCGTTTTCTTCGGTGTAATCCGGGAACTTGGTTGGCTCTCCGGCGATTCTGGCACGCATACTCGCGACTCATTTGCAGGGGGCCTCGGCCACCACTGCTTGCTGACAGGTCTCTAGAGGATGCCTCGATAGCGCATCGGCCACGACGTTGAGCTTCCCTCGACGATAATGGACGTCAAATTGGATTTGTTGCAGTTCTAACGCCCATCGCGCGATTCTTCCGGACGCACTCTCGATCGAGTTGAGCCACTTGTGTGCTAGATGGTCAGTTATCACGTCGAACCGGTACCCTTCTAAGTAGCAGCGCAACTTCCGGATCGACCACACTATTGCCAGGCACTCTTTCTCAGTGGCGGAATAGTTCACCTCGGCCTTCAGCAACTTCCGGCTCGCGTACGCTATCTCTCGCTCTTGTCCATCAATCGTCTGCGTCAGCACTGCGCCGAGGCCAGTCTGCAAGACGAACTTGGCGGAAAAGTCGGGGCAAGCCAACACAGGGGCAGTCGTCAAGCTATGCTTCAATTGGCGCAATGCCTCCTTCTGTTCTTGCTCCCATGCCCATTTCCGCCCTTTCCTTAAGAGCGCTGTGAGTGGCTGTACTTGAGTCGCGAAGTTAGGAACGAAGCGACTGTACCATGACGCCATCCCGAGACACTGCCGCAGTTCTTTGCAATTTGTCGGGGCCCTCAGGTTTCGTATCGCCTCCACTTTCTCCGGATCGGTACGTATTCCTTCCCCGCAGATGACATGTCCTAGGTAGACTAACCTCTCCCGGAAGAAGCTGCACTTTTTCCTATTTAACCTGAGATTTACCGCCCTTAGCCGGCAGATTACCTCCCTCAAATTCTCTACATGCTGTTCTTTCGTTGCTCCTATTACCACGATGTCGTCTAGGTAGGCGAACGCATGAGGCTCCATTTCCGGTCCTATTACTGTATCCAATGCTCGCTGAAAGGACGCACCCGCCGAGTGTAGACCAAATGGTATCACCCGCCATTGGAAAAGACCTCTTCCAGGGACTGTGAACGCCGTACACTCCCGACTATCGGCTGCCATCGGTATCTGCCAGTACCCGTGCTTCAAATCCAGAGTGGAGAAGAACCGGGCGTGACGCAACCGCTCCAGGATGTGGTTAATACGAGGCACCGGATAAGCATCCGGAATGGAATGCGCGTTGAGTTGTCGGTAGTCAATACACATACGCCACTCGCCAGTCTTCTTCTTGACTAAGACGATCGGGGCGCTGTGCGGACTACGCGACGGCTCGATGGCATTTGCCCGGATCAGCTCATCCACTTGCTCGTCAATCACCCTCTGCATGGCCGGATTCTTGGGATAGTATCTCTGTTTCAACGGCTTGTCATCCTTCAGCCTTGCCGATGCCGTTGTCGCCCCCTCCAGGTACCACTTCGACTCCAGATAGAGCTCCACGATCGCTCGACTCTGGCAGCCGCTCCTGGCCCCCTGCTTCCGTGTGGATTCTGGCCATTGCTCCTACTCTGTCCTTCCCTGGCACATTTCCGCCGTGCCGCTTCCGCAACCAGCGTAGATCTGCCCTTGCAGCTCTTCGTGCCGCTTCTTCGGCTCTTCAGGCTCTTGATCTGAACCGGACCTCACTTCCTTTTTCACGACCTTTTCCATCGGGTGCCGAGCAGGTGCTCCCCTTTCATGACCTGGGAGGCCTTCCTCCGGCTCCTCGCTCGTTCCTGGCCCCACGCCTGGTGTCGTCACTGCTTCTAGGACCAGTTCCGCCTCGCCGCAGCGTATTGTAGTGCCCATTGCACCCATTGCATGATGAGCATCGTCATGCTGATCGTTTTTCACCCTAAGCTGACGTCTACTCTCAAGGCTTTCTCCACCTCTAGGGTGGATCCATCTGCCAGGCGGATGCGTGCCTGTATTTCCTACTCTCTTCCCCGAGTCGTCCACTTGCGTACGCAGTCTTCACTCATGAAGCTACGAGTGGCTCCAGTATCGATCGTGGCAGGCATAGGGCATAGTGGCATAGGGTACTTTCCCTCTGCGTGAGTTACAGCGGGTGGGGCGGAGACCCTGTTGTCCACAACGGTCGTTCCGGATCCGCTGGGAACAGATCGGAACGGGGTGAGATGTCCCCCCGGGGACTGCGCCGTCCTCGCCCATTCTGCACTATTCGAACCCGAGACACCCGGGCTCAGGGGTTGGCTTCCTTAGTATTCCGTCCTCTGCCTCACGACGGTCTCGTATTCTACAGCCAGTTGAGTTAGCTGGGATAGGGTAGAGAAGTCTTGCCGTCGCACATAAAGCCTGTATTCCGGAGCGGCTCTTGTGCCGGCTCGTATCTAGCGTGATGCATAAGAGCCCTCAGCTCTATTAAATATTCCTTGAACTCTTCGCCTACGCGCTGCCTCCGGGACCGGATATCGTCCTCAAGCCTCTCGAAGAAACGAGGGGGTAAGAAAAACTCCAGGAAACCCCTCCTAAACACGGCCCACGGCACATCCCTTAGCGCACTGCTCAGAAACCAACGAGTGGCCCTATCGCAGAACACTTCGCTCATTGCCCTGGGCATTCGGTCGAGGGCAATGCCATAGGTGATGGCGCGGTCCTCGAGGTCCTCTAAGAACCCAAGGGGGTCGGAGCGTACTGAGATTCCAGCTCGGCAAGCCGAGCCCAAATCTCAGTTGAATGACCGCCATCCTGCACGTAGGTGGACAGCCGCTTGCGTAACTCCTCCACGCGCGCCTCCTTTTCCAGCCCGAACTCCTGGGCGATCGCCACTAGCTCCTCTTTGCGTCGCTGGTGTAATCCAACGGACGCCTACCCCCGGGTTTTGCCACTCACCTGCCTCCATCCTTTAATATATACCTTCTTGGTAGCAGACGTCGCTGTTTCCCTCTCTTCCTGTTTTAGCGGTTCCGTCGGTCCCTTTATTATTTCTCTCCATTTTTTTTTTGATCAGTTGGTGTCTTTGTCACTTTAACGCCGATCTTACTCAGCCACTTTTGTTCCTTTTAGTTTTCTTTTATTTTGCCTTTATATCTTCCACCATATCTTTTGCTAAATTAATTTTATTTTTAAAAATTTAATTTTTATCCACTTATTTTTATTTATCTTTGGCCACTTAACAAAAATAAAAAAAAATAATTCTCTCGACGTTCTTTACACTTTAACCCGCGTTCATTTGATTCGTTTGGTGCTTGTTCTGTTCTTATTGTTCACTTCGTTCGCATTCAATCTTAAAATGCGACCATCCTCACTGGCCTCGACAACTGTACTGACGAATTCAACTTTTCACCGCGCGTGAGTTTAATTCGTCCCACTGTACAGTCGCGGCCGCGACGCCTTAACGACCCTTCGACGCCGACGTCGACTGCGCCGCGCGTTTCTGCACCCGTGTGCGAGCGTGATCTCGACGTCGCCCGTCTGCCTCTGCCTAACACAGGGTATAAAAATGTTCGCTGGGGTATACTGGACTACCTGATACCCGAGTTTTATACTTCACCCATATATGATATTCTCATTCTCTTGTTCTCCGCTAGGGTACTTTCCCTCTAGGGTATACCCGACTAAAAATACACTGTTAAAAAAAAATACCTATTTGGGCATGCTTGCGGGCTTTAATCCGCCGACATGCCACACCCCTAAACGCATCTTGTCCCTGCTCGGGCGCCACTTGTAAAGAAGCTACTGGCCGGGGTATAACTCTCAGTCTTACCAGGTCTAGCGAGTTACAAGATATTTATAATTTCGCTGGGAGAGAAGGCTTAAGGGGGAGGGGGGGTGAGTATCCTGACCAAACCAAGCCTAGCTCTATTTCTGCACGCCTACACTATCGGGCCGTGGCCTCGCACCAACTACACTATCGGGCCGTGGCCTCGAATCAACTCCACTACCCAAACGCTCTATCGGGCCGTGGCCTCGCACCAACTACACTATCGGGCCGTGGCCTCGTACCAACTACTCTATCGGGCCGTGGCCTCGTACCAACTACACTATCCAAATACCAACCAGTAATGCCCACCCCGGGGCCACAATCCCGTACCACATGCTCCTACTCTAGGTTAGGTCGAACATCGCTTAACTCCGATGTTAAGGCAAGCCGGGTTACCAGAAAACAAAGAACTATCCAGTTTCCTCTCTATAATTACAACATATGCACTTTATTCACTTCTTGCTTATTACTACTTTATAGTAACTCACGATCTAAGCCCTGCCGCACGGTTTTCTGGAGCCCTAGCGCTCCGCTATACACTCTATGATCTTTCTCGTCTCGCGATGCACGTCTACTCACCCTTAGCGTTCGTTCCAAAGTTCCGGCACGCTCGCCCGCGAACCGTGCGCATGCCTCGGTCGCTCAACTTCGCCGCGAGCTTTCGCAACTTCACCTCGGAGCTTTCGCTCTTCGCCGCCAAACTGAAGTTGC